TCCTCCACATATCCCTACACAAAAATACCCAAGGAACTCAATGGAAGCATTAAAACTATCAAAATCCAACCTTAAGTTCTTGAATTCCAAAATGGACAAACACACCCCTTTTGGTTCCTAAATTTCCACATTTGATTTCAATGAATTAAAACATACTTCCATGGCACAACCTATACAAAATCACATTTCAAATTCATTGGAACCATTAAAACACATGGAATCCAATCCTATTCTTGAGTTTTTGGTTGGGCCGAAACATTTTTCTTGCACCCCAAGAGGTTTTCTTTCCATAATCCATTCCAAAACAACACCAAACACAATAACACAATCTCATAATTCAAGTTACTATCCACTCCTAGGACTTTGAGCAAAACAGAAATAGAGCAGCACTTCTTCCTCAATTTTGTCACGGTTTGGCCATTGAAAAAGCATCAAATTAAAGACTAAACATACCTTAAGGAGTCCTGGATTGAAGCTATAACACCTTACATTTGCATCCTTATATTATGCCAAGTTAAGATATTTAGAGGTGCATTTACAGGTTACTGGGTTGAAAAATCTGAGTCTGAAAATTTCTTCTCCCGCATTACTATTCATTGTAACCTTAAACTTGGCATAACTTTGAAAAATCACAACTAATTCTAGAAAAATTGAAACAAGGTCGTTCCAAGTCTCACTCGAAGCTCTTAACATCATCTATTAAGGAAAAATGACCTCAGGTTCCAATTTAATCAGAAACGCATCCAATTTTAATTTCAAAAAGTACTGTTCATTTGGTCATTTTTCTATTTTCCAGGATTTTTGCCTAACTTTGGAAAGGCATAACTTCTTGCACAGGGCTCCGATTTTGACACTTTACCACTCATTTTAAAGGAAAAAATAAGATCTATTTACATGCCAAAGTTTAGGGGAAAAGTCGATCATTTGACTAGGGTCTTAATTGGTCAAAGTTTGATCAAATTTAGACCATTTTTATCCCCCCTTTTCACTAATTCTAGCACCATTTCGTTTTTCACCATAAGCAGACCATACTCGCATATAAAGCTACTCTACCATTAATATACATCCAAAAAGGTTATCATGTCATGTGTTCATGCTCAGAATATGCTTACATGGCTTGGAAAAGAAAGGTTTAAATCCATATAATACAATACATAGATCATAATTTCCTCAAGCCATGATTACTTCCTTTCCCTTCTCCTTGGAGGTAGTAGCACCTAGGATATCATGTTATAGGAGGAATGAGATTTCATAGAAATCCCAATGGCATTGAACATACAACCATCAAGTTAACATGCATAAGATGTCATGCTACATGCAGTAAAATAACATTGCTAGCCATTATGCCATGCCATAACCATTCCATATCCATATCATCATCATGGAGCATATAGTCATTCCAATCAAAACTCAATCATGCAAGAGCCAAGGCATACATTGCAAGGAGTTCACATCATCAGTGCATAAACATTCTCATGGCACATAAACACACATAGCAGAAACACCAAATGCAAGTCAACAAAATAATTGTAAGTTCATGCTACCTCGGTTCCACGCTCAATGTTTCCTCCTTGTTTTCCTTGCTTGAGGTCCTCCTAGGTTTCCAGAAAATTGCCTATCAACCATACAGTAAGGGTATGGTAAATTCCATATCCGGTATATAATTCTTTCTCAATATAATACTATCCTTGTGCCTTTTAATTTATAACTTCTGTATACCTTTCCTAATCCTTTGATTTGGTTTGACTAAGCCTTAATCCTCAATTAAGGTCTTGAAATTCTTCCTTAATCCATGATTAATCATGCTTTCTTGGTTAATCACTAACCCTTAACCCTTAATCCAATATTTAATTAAGATCCTCAAGTCACATAGTCATTAATACAACATAATCCTCTAAGATTAAGTCACTAATCCCTTATGGATTAACCATTAATCATTCTCTAATAAACATGATTAACCCTTAATCATTCCTTAATCAACATGATTAATCATATCATCCTTTAATTAACATAACTAATCACTAGTCATTAATTAATCAAGGTAACTAACCTTAATTACTTATTAATCTTTAATCAAATAACATGATTAATCTTAGCTATCACTAAACCATAATTAATCAAGGTAATTAATCCTAATCTTCCTCAAATAAATCATTAACTAAAAATAATTAACACTTAGGGAGGTAAACATACCTTAATTAGCTCTTAATCGGCGATTAGAGGCGTTTAACCTTTCTTTCTCCCTTTCTCTCTCTTCGTTCTTTCTTTCTCTCTCCTAGAACTTAAGAGCAAAACATTCCCTCTCTAGGAAACCATCTTGGCCGAAATTATGAAGGGTGAGGGGGTATTTATAGGCTTGAATTTTTTAAAATACCAAGAATGCCCTTGCAGAAAAAAAATGCGATCTCGGCCATCCATTTTTTTTCACTTTACACATGGACAAATCTTAGAGCACAAGCCTTGAGATCATGACACATGGAAGGACACCTATTCACCATGTGATTTTCATGTGTTAGAAAAATATTATTTTAATGTTTTGTCTCTTATTTCCCTTTATGCCCTTGAACAATTTGGAAAATTCCAACCTTGTCCTTCCCCCTTATTTTGGCCAAATTATTACTTTAAGAATTGGAAGAAAAATGACTCATCCAATATTCAGTGCAATCCACTGATTATTTGTGTATTTTCGGTCCAATTTTCCAACAATCCTGTCCAATTTACTATCACAAAATTTTGATTTCAACCCCTCCTTAAATTCATCTCATTCCAAGGATATTCCATGATTTTTCTCAAATTTTAGCTCGCTCTATAATTTTCTAAATTTTATTCCGTCAAAAATCAATATTCTACTAATAATAATTCGGTAATAAATATTCTTTAAGCTAACCTCTGTACTTCCAAAGGTGGGAAGTAATTTTATAAATTAAGATAATATGTCACATAATTTATCCCTATTTTTTCTTGAATTTTTGAGGCCTCCATATATTTTAAATAATGGAAATTGGCTAATTTTCCTTAATTAACCAAAAATTCCAATAATTACAAATAATTCCCTGATAAATTATTTTTTATCCTATATTTACCTTCTAAGCCTCAAACATTATTTTGTACCCTCCTTTCTATTTTTCATGATTTTCTGGGAATTTTCAAGAATTTTGGACATTATTTCCAATACTGCCCTTTCTTGACCAATCTTTTCAAAAATGACCATTATGTCCCTATCCTGATTTTTCCTCATAGCCTGGATCCTCTACCAGTGTGCTATACTACTTGACCTTAGTCAGTCTCACATCATTCATCAATTAGGATAAAATTATCAGGGTGTGATAGAAGCTTGATGATTTTCCTTGGATCGGAAGTGGTTTGAAGAGTGTTTGGAAGCCAAGAAGAAAATTGTGCAGAACCTCCCCTCTATTGTCCTAATTCTGTCTGAATTTTGAGTGCCTTGTGGGGTTATTTATAGACCTCATTTTCTGCCTAAAAACCTACCCTTGGGCAGCTATTTTTGTCCCAAATTAAGTGCAAAAGTCGGCCAAAATGAAGAACAAATCCTAGCCACACATCCTTTGACTCAAGTTTCAAGAGAGTTGATCCAATGGTTAAAAATTTGCCCGGCACACAAGCCAGCTGTTCTGATCATGATGAGCATGAATTTGGGCCTTATTGGATGCTAAATAAATGATAAAAACTGATTAGGAAGCAATGGAATTGGTTAGGGTAATTTTAAAAATTATTTGGTCACATAATACCCGATTTCTTGCCCCCTATTAGAGAAAAATAGCTAAGGGCTTCTAAAATTCCATTTATTTTCATGATAAATCCATATTTATTCCAAAAGTGTGATCTGGAAGTTTTGGGAATTTTTCAAGACCTATAGGTATTTTTTTCACATTTTCTCTGAAATCGGGTCTTTACAAATAGGAATTCGGAAGTAAATTCCCCATAAATTATTTTCTACATTTTCAATACTTGGAAATAATTTTATAAATTCATAAATATTCCTAGGGAGTGTATCCATATTTTTCCTTGAATTTTTGGAGTCCTTAGGTAATTAAAATAATTATATCACTTTAATCCCCTTTTATTTTTCCCTATTTTCCCAAAAATAATTATTTTTTTGGGAATTTTCACTAAAATTTATTTTGGGCCATTCTCACTCACAAAACATCATAGGTGACTCAAAAACCTCTAATTCCACCTTTTTCTATTTTTAGGGAATTTTTGAGAACTTTTCTCAAAATTACCGTTTTACCCCTAGGGACCCGATAAAGTCGGTTTCGTCCCATTTTGGGTTTCCATGCTTTACTCATACCTTATGCTCATCAATCATGTCTCATTTCTCACATTTCCATTACTAGGGTTTCAAATTTTGGGATGTTACACCACTCACCAAGATACCTATCATAACAACCCAATCCAATAATCCATCACCAGATTATCAACAATTCAATACAAAACTCAAAAATAAGTGATGGAAGATTGGGAAAAACTTTTGAAAGTTTCAAAATTTTTGAAAAATTTTGGCAAGTTTCAGCAAAAACCACCCATAACAAGGAATAACCCAATAAACAATCCACAAAATCACTTTTAAGCTCAACAGGAACAAAACTTTCCTCCCCCACACACTTAAAGCAATGTCCTCATTGCAGTATGTAGTCACAAACAAAATCATAAAGCCCAAAAGCAAAAATAACAAAGGTGAAAGTTGTGAAGTTCAATTCAGGATTGAAGCACAGCACATCACCTATCTAGGGAGAAGAAAAAAGCTAAGTGCAAGGATGGGAAAACTCAAGAAAGCAATTAAGTGTGTGGTGGTGACAAAACCATAATCACAATCAAATCCAACTCAAAGCTAGGAAAGATTATTCAAAACAACAGACTTTAAAATTACTTCTACTGAGGACATCCCTTTCACAATCTCAAATAGTCACAGTAAAATAAAGTAAACACAAGCTAATTCATATGAGAAGTAAGAGGGAGAGAAAAGGGGTGACCTGGCCTTAAAGAGGTGACCTAGCCTTAAAGAGGTGACCATTATATTGGAATATCTTACCCGTGGCCTCCTCCTTCATCTCTATCATCATGAAATTGTGCACTTTTGTTATGATGTAAGGGCCATCCCAGCTCATCTTGAATTTGCCTTTCTTGAACTTGAATCGAGCTTGATACCTCAGTACCTCGTCACCCTCCTTAAACCTTTTCCTTAAGATCTTGGCGTCATGAATGATCTTGGTCTTTTGCTTGTAGATGTCTGAGCTATGGTAGGCATCCAACCGTATTTTCTCAAGTTCTTGAATTTGAAGAAGTCTGTTCAGTCCAGCTTCCTCATGATCATTATTATAGCTCTTGACCACCCAATAGGATCTATACTCTAACCCCCCTAGAATGTGACATGACTTCCCATAGATGATCTAATATGGAGACATCCCAATTGGTGTCTCATAAGCGATGCGGTAGGCTAACAATGCATCATCCAACCTCAAGCTCCAGTCTCACTTGGATGGCTTGACAATTCACTCAAAAGTCCCTTAAATTCTCTGTTTAACACCTCAGCTAGACTATTGGTTTGAGGGTGGTACGGGTTGGACACCCCGTGGGAAACTCCATATTTAGCCAACAAGTTAGTGAGCAACTTGTTGCAAAAATAGGTTCCCTGATCACTAATTAACACTTTAGGTACTCTAAATCTACTGAAGATAGTCAACTTTAGAAACTTGAAAACCGTAGGTGCATCATCTTTTTATGTGGGGATGGCCTCTACCCACCATCTACAGCTAGAAGGATGTAGGTATAGCCATAAGATGGTGGAAAGAGGCCCATGAAATCTATCCCGCAAGCATCGAATATCTCACAGAAAAGAATGGGTTGTTGCAGCATCTCATTTCTTTTACTGACTCCCCCAAATCTTTGGCATTTATCACATGCCTTACAATAAGTGAACGTATCTCTAAACAAGGCAGGCCAGTAAAATCATGCATCAAACACTTTTCTGGTCATCTTTCTAGCACTAAAGTACCCCCTATATAAGGTGTCGTGGCAAGCTTCTAAAATAGCTCAAGCCTCTACCTCAACTAGACTTCAATTGCTTCACCACCTTATGTCTTGGAGACTTTGGTTAAAGGGCCAATACTTTTTGACTCATTGCTACTCATACACATTCTAAAATTACACCCTATACCTTCTGATTTTTGAATGATCTAATCTCTAACAATGATGTAAGTATGGAGGTGAACCAACCCAAGTTTGTTGCTGCTATAGACCAACTTGAGCTTAGTGTAACATCCGATAGGACTAGGGCAAGCATAGTAGATCCAAGTGAAGCTGGTAAGTGCATTTCATAAGAGTCGACAAAGGGGAGTTTGTCTAACTCTACTGATGTTTCCACTCTAATTCCCTCTATTGTTCAACCCCCAACTTTAGAACTGAAAGACCTACCTCCCAACCTCAAGTATGCTTATCTTGAGCCTGAGAATAAATTGCCTATCATTATTTCTAGTTCTTTAACTGAACATGAAGAGACTAGTTTAATAGGAGTCCTCAGAAGAAATAGGGAGGCTTTGGGTTGGCAACTAGCTGATATTAAGGGACTTGACTCTACTGTGTGCATCCATAGGATTTTATTATCTGAGGGTTCCAAGCCAATTAAACAAAACTAAAGGAGATTAAATCCTCTAATTTTTGATGTGGTTAGGAAAGAAGTAGATAAACTTCTGAGGGCTAGAATTATATAAGCTATATCTAATAGGGAGTGGGTGTCACTGGTATAAGTTGTGCCGAAAAAGAGTGGGATCACCATAGTAAAAAATAAGAACAATAAACTCATCCCAACTAGGATGTAAAACTCATGGAGAGTTTGCTCTGACATTTACAAGTAGAAAACCAAGCTTGTCCATGATGCCAACATCCTGAGGAATAAGTTCAAGGAGGGTAACAAGGTGTTAAGATACCAAGCTCGATTCAAATTCAAGAAGGATAAATTCAAGACGAGCTGGGATGGACCCTACACTGTCATGAAAGTGCACGACCTCAGGATGACAAAGCTAAAGGAGGAGGCCATAAGAAAAATGTTCCAGTGCAATGATGTCACACCAGCAATAGGGTAATTAGGAATAAGAAATATTCCTAAATAATTAAGGGCCAAAAAGGATAAGGAGGAATAGAAGATTTGTGCTGGAAATTAATTATTATAATTTTCCAAGTCGATTACAAAAAGCTTGACTAATTAAGGAAAATTGGTCAAGAATAATTATGCAAAAATATTTTCAAGCCTAAAAAAATTAAGAAAAAATAAGGACAATGTTCCTTGAGAGTTATATGAGGTTCTATAATTAGTTTTATGACCAAATTGCCCTTAGGGAAACCATAAAGGAATTTAAGGGTGACTTAAGCTAGTTTAAGGCCTTTTATTTGGAAAATTCCAAATAAATATTGGAAAGGAGAATAAAATCCCAAGAAAATTCCTATGATGTCCCAAGGAATTATAAGAAATTATGGGATCAAAAGAAGACCCTCAAGTATCCAAGATTTTTCCTAATTCCTTTGAAAAGTAGAAAAATGAATAAAGAGAAGGAAATTAGTTTTCCCTTTTAGTTAATTATTGGGAAATTAATTTTGAGACAAAGAGGGCAATTTAGGAAGATAAAAATGAGGAGGATGAATTATAGATCTGATAGAAAATAATTACAGAGGCTAAACTATTGTAATTATAGAAAAGCAATTAAACTCGGAGTAAAAGTGCACCGATAAAGTGAAGACTAGAGTCTTGCACTTTACTTGGCTCACAAGTTGCCACTTGTCAAGCCTCTATTAGAGAGTAATTAAAGCTTTCCAAGTGTCAAGCATTAAGTAGAGAGGATCTTAACTTTGGAATTTAATTACATTATGATTTACTTAAGAGAGAAGTTTCAAGACTAAGTAGGAAGGTGACACTTGGCTTTTCATTTATGATGGTGGTTGGGATATTTTGGTGCATTAATTGAGCTCTTCCTCCACCTAAATCAGATGTTAGTTTTGGCCAAGAGAAAACCAAGAGGGAAAAGAGAGAGTTCAAGGAGAAAACAAGAGAAAAGGCACCAACTTTGATAATCCAACCAAGATCCAAGGTTAGTTTTTGGTTCTTAGTTGTTCCTTGCCTTGTTTGTTTGAGTTGTATGGTTAAAATTTCTGGTTCTTCCCTTTTTCTTGAGCTGGCTGAAGAAAGTTTGGTTCCTAGTGGTTTTAAGTGATTGTAGGTTGTTTTTGAAGCGATTTCCTTGTTGTTTTTCACGAGGACCAATTTGACCAAGGCAAGAACTAGACCCTAGGATGTGTTTCTTCAAATTTTTTATGCTTCCATTGTGTTCAAAATGGAAAATGGTGTAGGATAAACATAAAGAACAAAGGTTGGAAGCATTAAAGCTAAAGTTATAATTTTTAGAAAATGAACCATAGTGGTTCAGCCAAGCTGAAACTAAAAGAGGAAGTTTTATTTTCTTAAATCTAAGTAGATATTTGGAATCTATATGAAAAATCATGTAGGAATGAGTCAAGAGGAAATTTTTAGGGTTTATGGAAACCAACTCTAAAATTTAAGGAACAAAGGTGGAAGCTTTAAGCGACAAAGGTTGTCCTTGAGTTATGTTGTTGATTTTTATGTGGAATGGTTGATCACTCTTGCTGCCCTTTTTATGGATTTCCATGTTAGGGTTTGGCATTTGTGGAAGCAAGAAAGAAGAACAAGAAAATCAAAGAGTATTAGATCAAGGTAGTAAGATTTAATTGACCTTAATGTTGAGTGTTGCATTAATTGCTATGCAATTTCATGTGCTATTATGTAGTTGAGCTAGATGATGATGATGATGATGATTGTGTAGCTATACTCCTTGCTGTATGTACCTTGGCTATTTCATGTTAGAGTGCTATATGTATGAGGTAAAGTAGTGCCCTATTAATAGCAAAAGGTTGGAATACTTGTAATTGATGCATGTTGATGTTTTGGTTGATTGATCTTGCTACTGGGATTTCATTGAAATCTCATCCCCCATATGTAACATAATATTTTAGGGATTGAGTCATCAAAAGGAATGCTGCAAATCCAAGGATAAATATGATGATGAACCATAGGGAAACATTTATATTTGGTTATGTGTAAGTATGTATGGTTGGTGCTGTAATCCCTAAGTAGGCTGCCAAGTTAGAGCCACATTTTTATTAAGTTCCCAAATGAATTTCTTCACAAATTTTGGTATGCTTAAATTTCACATCATGAGATTCAAATCAATAAGTAGCACATTAAAAACGGCCAACTATACAATTTTTAATGATTTTTCAAAGTTAAGGTTCAAAATCTGGAAAAAGAGTTTTGCCAAATGGACAGAGGTGACTTCCACAAAAGCTTGATACTTTTTCAAATGGAATTCATTCACAAGATTATTTTTCCCTGAAAGAAAATTCAAAGAGATTTTTATGAAATTTTGAACCACTCCATTTTGATTTTTCTAGATTAAGTTATGAATTTTTGAAGTTGGGCCAGAAAATTGGATTTTTACCAGATGAACAGTGAAAATCTAAAAATCAGTGTTTTTCATAGATTTTTGAGCCTAAGACCATCCAATGTGGTCTAAAATGGTTTTAATTGAACCCTAAGATGATACAATAGTAAGGTGTGACAAACAGTCATCTCCTCAATCTCTACGAAGAACCCGCACCGCCTTCTTAAGGCCAAGTCGTCCTTTTCCTTTACCTCTTACTGTTCACATGGATTTTTTTATGCTTAAATTGTCTTGCTATGACTATTTGAGACTGTGAAAGGGATGTCCTCAGTAGAAGTAGTTTTAAACTCTACTGTTTTGTTTGTTTTGAATAATCTCACCTCGCCTTGAGTTTGATGTGATTGTGATTATGCTTCTTTTGTGTCACCACCACACACTTAATTGCATTCTTGAGTTTTCCCATCCTTACACTTAGCTCTTTTCTTCTCTCTAGACAGGTGATGTGTCGTGCTTTGATCCTAAATTGAACTTCACAACTTTCACCTTTGTTGTTTTTGTTTTTAAGCTTTGTATTTTGCTTTGTGACTGGGTACTACAATGAGGACATTACTTTTAGTGTGTGGGGGGAGGGAGGTTTAAAAGTGGTTTTGGGATTTTTTTTGTTAGGTTGTTCCTTTTTATGGATAGGTCTTACTGGAACTTACTGAAATTTTTAAGAACTTTTTGAAAATTTAAAGTTTTCCCCAATCTTCTATCACTTGTTTTTGAAGTTTTATGTTGAATTGTTGAGAATCTGGTGATGGATTGCTGAGTTGGGTTGTTATGATAGGTATTTTGGTGAGTGGTTTTGGTTTAGGACTTTATTTTGAGATTTTTCAAGGTCTAGAGAGTCAGAGAACTCTCTATGACCCTAGGTCATGGCCTTGCTGTTCTCATGTCACGACCTGGAGGTTAGTCTGAGAAGGGGAGCTCTCGGTGTACTGAAGTCGCAACCTCGCTGTCTCAGGTCGTGATTTGGGGAAGAAACTTGGTAAAGGCTCTCTATGAGTTGAGGTTGTGACCTCGCTGTTTTCAGGTCGTGAACTAGAGCCTTTCTGAAATACTAAATCCCCCTCTGTCTGCTAAAGTCGCGACTTGAACTCCCTCAGGTCGTGACCTGACATGAAAAGTTAGGACTTTTCCTGTGAGTTTACCTCTCTACCCTTATTCATTTCCACCTTAATTACCATTTTGCCCTTTAAACCTGCTGTGGATCCAAGCCTTATGCATTCCAAGGACTTGAAACCCTAATTTTTTTTTGTAAAATCACACATAACCCTCCCTTCAGACTTTCTCTTGCACGTTTACTCTCATTCTCCCCACGACTAAACTTCCAACCCAGCTTGTGACTCCCCATCTTCCCCTGTA